CCCCGCCGTCGGCGCTGCTGGCGGCCGCCAGCGCGGGCGCCGGCGGCGCTGGCGCCGAGGGGGGAGGGGGGCAGGGTTTGGACCCCTCCCCCCCTGAGAGTGGGGGGGAGGGGTTTCGGGAGCGGGGGGGGGTAGGGGGGAGGGGAGTCCCCCTGGTTCTGATCGACGGCGCCAAGTGTTGGGGGGGGCCCCCCCCCGGGTTCGAAGCGCGCCGCCGAATGTTCCCAAGGCAAGCGCGCGTGAAACGCGCTCTCTCCATTATCGATCTCACTATCGGTCTTACTGTCGATCTCTCCACGGGCCACCACGGGACACTGACAGGACTCCGACGGGACACCGAAGGGACATCGACGGGGCACCCGCGGGACACTGATGGGACACCGACGGGACACCACGGGACACCATCGGCAGACCATCGGGGGACCAATCGATCTTACTCTCCGTCTCCCTTTCGATCTCACTCGCTTGATTTCACGATCGATCTCACTTGATCGATCTCACGATCGATCTTATTATCGATCTCACTACCGATTTCACAATCGATCTTACTATCGCTCTCACTTTCGATCTTACCATTGGTCTCACCACGGGACGCCACAGGACACCGACTCGACACCGACAGGACATCCGCGGAACACCGACGGGACACCACGGGACACCACGGGACACCATCGGGACACCATCGGGACACCATCGGGGCACCAATCGATCTCACTTTCGATCTCATGTTCGATCTTACTATCGGTCTTGTCAGGAAGCTCAGCAGCTCGATCTCACTGCCGATCTCACTGTCGGCTTCACTATCGATCTCATTGTCGATCTCACCACGGGACACCGAGTGAACACCGCTGGGACACCTACGGGACACCCGCGGGACTCCGACGGGACACCAACGGGACACCAACGGGACACCGACGGGACAGCGACGGGACAGCGGCGGAACGGCCACAGAACACCAGCGGGACACCGACGGGACACCGACGGGACACCGACGGGACACCACGGCGGGACACCACGGCGGGACAACGCGGCCACCGCCCGCCCACCTCGGGGGAGAGGCGGACAGCGACGGGACACCACGGCGGGACAACCCGGCCACTGCCCGCCCACCGGGGAGGAAGGAGGGGCGGTCACTGGCCCCTGACCCGCCCTTAGCCACAGTGGGGTCATTCTTCCCGCCCGCCCACGCAGCTTCGCCTCGCCCGCACGTGCGACACGAACCCGAAACCGAAACCGATTTCCCAGTGGGGGGCCCTCCGTTACACGTCGATCTCACCCCCCAACCTCCGACTACCACTACTAGTACTACCACCACCACCACTTTCACCACCACTGCTATTGCTTCCGTGAACTGGTAGTTCTTCTAGGACCACCTCCATTACTAATCCGATTGCGACTGCTATACTGATCATTGTTACTGTTACTGCTGCGGCGATTGCTATTAACTACTAGATGGTAGTACCTTCGCTATTGTAGGTTTTATCGGTTTTGCAGGATTTTGAATGATTGCTTGGTGGCCGCCAGGGGGCGCCTGGTGGGCATAGCATATTTTTATTCCTGTAGTTTTTTGATGACTTGTTGTGCTCGCCCCCATACCGAGGTTGGACTTACCCCTCTCCTTGTATGGCTTTTCATTTTTTGCACGATTGTTCATGATAGGCGTAAAGCAATACCGTCCCAGCGAGCCCCCTTATTGACCCCTCCCTGTCAAGCAGTACAATGTGGAGCGCTCTCTGTGATCTTACAAGCGCGTTTTCCTTGAGTCCGTATCGTGTAGTGCCATGCGGGCCACAAGCGCGCCCACGTTTCATAATCCTCTCAAAACCATTGGCTTCCAAGCAGCCTTCAACAACACACGTAACCATGTTTTGTTCGATGAAGAGTTGCCAGACATTTGCGTGCACGCATTCGTTGAAGGCAGGCGAAAACGACGCGCTGTTTTTATTTTGCCGTTTTGGCTGCACGCGCGCGGATGCCAACACTCATCGCGCACCCGCCAACTCCGTCAAGGCCGCACGCGCGCGTCCTTGCGCGCGCACGTCCAAGCCGTTGCAAAACCATAGGTCTCCGAAGCTCATCCATGTAGGGGCGTTCACAAACACTTCAGCATCCTCTGTAGCACCACTTTTATCACCCACGCCAGCGTCATCAATGCCATCGTCATCATAAGGTGTTCTGGTGGCTCTGGGTAGTCCTGGAGAAGGAGACTGGAGCCCCCCCGAGAGAATGGGTCGACGCCTCATCTCCTCGAGGAGCGCCTGTGGACTGTGCCGCCCTCCGTCCCCAGAGGGTTCCGCCTGACATCGAGGGTGGTGTGGGGAAGCGCGGCGCACACGGACGACCCCAGAAACCTCGAATCCAAGAATGGCAATGCTGATGCCACCGTTTCACTTTCGCCTCCTTCTGCCGAGCTTCCGCCGGCTTCCGCCAGCGGAGACGCCGCAGATTCAATTTCATCCGAGCTTCTGCTAGCTTGCGCCGAAGGCGAAGATGCGCCGAAGGCGAGTTCCTTTCTGGAGCGCGCCGCATGGCGTGGTCGAACTGAGCGAGAGCTTGATGCACGTGCGCGGGGCAACGCGTGTTCGACGTCGGTGGCTTTCGGCGTGGCGAGGGCGGAGAGCGCGACCAGACCTGTCCGAAGCCCGCTTGTTCATCATTCTGAAGACGATGGATCTCCGCGGACATCTCCGCCGGCGCCTACACGCGGCCGAACGTACAGACAGTGCTCGGCCCTCGCACGGCCGAGAGCGCTGGCCATCCAGATGCGCATCCAGCGCGTGGCCTCCGCCCGTCCCGCATGTGAGCCCAGCAATGTGTGTGTGTGTGTGTGTGTGTGTGCGCTCCTTGCCTGGGGGGCGGCCGGCTGCCCTTCCAAGCCTCTGCCACTGGCCCGCTGGGTGGCTCCGCCGCGCATAGCCAGTCTCCAGCGTCTCTCACGCGCATGCCCGCCTGAGCGTTTCCTCCTGCTCGCGACTACCACCTGCCACGCCCAGTCCACCCACTTGCCACGCCTGTAGGTAATTCGCCCAAGCGTGTTCGGGCTCAGCGTTTCCCGATGGTGCCGCCACCGCGCCGTTGGAGGAGCGCGCGCGCGCGCGCGCGGGTGTGTGTGTGTGTGTGTGTGTGTTTGTGTGTGTGTGAATGTGCCTCGCTGCCCAGGCGCCTCGGCGGCGCACGCGACACTGCCCCGTGAGTGGTCGGCCGTCTCGCCTTTCCTTGCCTCTCTCTTTTGGCTACTGGGCTCGCGCGCGGTCCTCCGCGCGGCGCGTCTGACGGGGTGGCCAGTCGCCCACCCGCGACGACCGAATTGTTTGTGTGTGTGTGTGTGTGTGTGAGTGAGTGTGTGTGTGTGTGTGTGTGTGGGTTCCAGCCTCCTAGGGTACCGGTCAGCTCGCCTCCTTCTCATGCTCCTGCCCATCCCCCTCGCAGAGCGCGCGCTGGAGCAGAACAATGGCGCTGGCTCTGGCGGCGCGCACAAGGAACGGGGGGGACGCTCGGGGCGCGGCCTTCGAAAAATGCGCCAATGCTCGGGCCACCCGCGGCGGCCGTTCGGCACGATCCTGGCACCCCCAGAGCGCTCTCGCAGAGTCGCAGCTGCTGGCAGGCACTTCGGGGCGAGAAGACCTCCAGCAGCCAACGAGAACTTACGAAAACTCAGGAGGGTGAGGATGATGATGATGATGAGGAGGAAACATAACAATAATAATAGCCATACTAGTGCACAAATAATGACGCCATTACAAATATTACTGACACAGATAATAAGAATAACAACACTAATCATGACACTGCTACTACGACTACGACGACTACTACTACTACTACTACTACTACTACTACTACTACTACTACTACTATTACTATTATTACTACTACCACTACTACTACCACCACTACTACTACTACAGCTACTACTACTATGAATATTCTTACTATTACTATTACTACTACTACTAATAATAATAATAATAAAAATAAAATTAATACGAATTCGACTGTCAGTCGTACTAACAGTCATAGCAATCAATACGATATGACTACTACTACTACTACTACTATTACTACTACTTCTACTACTACTACTACTACTACTACTACTACTTCTACTACTACTACTACTACTACTACTACTACTACTACTACAACTACAACTATTACTACTAGTACTACGACTACTACTCGTACTACTATTACAACAACAACAACTACTACTACTGCTGCTACTACTACTACTACTACTGCTACTGCTACAACTACTACCACTACTACTACTACTACTACTACTACTACTACTGCTGCTGCTGCTGCTGCTGCTACTACTACTACTACTACTACTACGACTACTACTACGACTACTACTACTACTCGTATCGCGGGTACTAATGCTACTAATTCGGATGCGAATGCTACTATTAATAATATTACTGAAATAACAATAATGATGATGCCATACGTAAGAAGGCTAATCGTACTAATACAAAGAAGGAGGAGAAGGAGGAGGAGGAGGCGGAGGCGGAGGCGGAGGAGGAGGAGGAGGAGGAGGAGGAGGAGGAGGAGGAGGAGGAGGAGGAGGAGGAGGAGGAGGAGGGAGGAGGAGGAGGCGGAGGCGGAGGAGGAGGAGGAGGAGGAGGAGAAGGAGGAGGAGGAGGAGGAGGATGAGGAGGAGGGGGAGGAGGAGGAGGAGGAGGAGGAGGAGGAGGAGGAGAAGGAGGAGAAGGAGGAGCAGGGGGAGCAGGATCGATCGAGGACCGAGTTCCAGAACCCCGACGCCATGGTTTTTTGTCAACGTCGACCCCAGAGGTCTCGACCGATTCTCCGGGGCCGGCTCTTCGTTCCGAGTAATTTTTTGACGGTCCTGGGGCCTGGCGAGGGCCCTCAGAGGCTGAAAACGGCCAAAAACCTCCAGCCGCTATTTTTTCACGACGCGAGGGGGTCTGGGGCAGGATGATGGAGCATCGCCTCGTCCTCCCTTTCCTGCGCTGGCCTGGGCCCTTGGGGAGGTGCGGCTCCGGCGGCTGGTGGACCTGCCGCGAGAGGAGTTGGAGCTGCGCGCTGGGGAGGGCGTCGCAGAGGGGGTGGCGCAGATCCGCAGGAGCCTCTGCGCAGCCGCGGAGCGCCGCGGTCGCTCGGCTTCCACGAGGGCTCAGGGTCCAGGCCGCCCAAGCACGGCCGAAGTGGGGAGGACGCTCGCCGAGGGAGGACCTACACCAGGCCTCCAAGCACTCTGGGAGGTTCTGCTGCCTCGGGATGCGCTCCAGTAGCTGAGCCTCGCCCAGGGCGTTCTGGGCTTGCCCCGATCGTATCCGATCGTTCTGAACGGTTGCTGGCTGGAGACCTGAGCTATGACCCGAAAACCTCCGCTGGGGCCTCGCGTCGTGACAAACATGATGACGGACGTTTTGTTGCTATTTTCGGCCTCTGGGAGCCCTCGCATGGCCCCAGGGACGGGGTCGAGACCTCGGGGGGTCGACATGAAAACATCATGGCCTCGGGGGTCTGGGGATCCAGGTCGCCCGAGCGGGGTCGGTGCATCGCGCCGCAGCGCCGATTCGTCGGTGATGCGGTGCAGTGTGCAGCTTGGTTTTCTCCACGCCCACTTCGCCGACGCATCGCCGACCTCACCGATACATCGCCGGCGCATCGGCGATGCGGCGCGATCCTCCTCCTCGTCCTCCGCCTCCTTTGCCTCCAGCTCCTCGGCATGCCGGGTCCCCGAGCCGGGCTTTGCATCGAATTGGCGAGCGCGGCGGTCGCCGTGGGCTTGGCCCTGGCGCCGCGCGCGCGTTCGCCGTGGTGATGCCCCTGGCAGCGCTCCCAGACGGCCAGGCCCCGTCGGCTCGAACCCCGAGGGGCGGCCGAGCTCGGCGGTTGCCAGAGGAGATCCTGGCCCAAGGTGTCCCCCAGGCTTCCGGCGCTACTCTACGGGCCCCTCGGGCCCCTCGGGCCCCTCGGGGCCTCGGCAGGGGGTGCTCTCTGGAGGCCACCCTGGGCGTCGCTGCCGAAGCGGGGGCCGCCCTCCGTGCCAGTGGGTCACGTCGGGCAATGCACGACAAACCAGATCCTGGCAAGGCCAGGGGAAGCCATCCAACCTGTGCGGCGAGGACTGGGGCAGACCTGGCTAAATATCGGAACCCCTACCGCAACATCCCCAACGTGGCGGAGACCGACCGATGCTTCGGCCAGCGCGCGCGCGCATCCAGCGACGGGGGCTACTCTTTTAGGGCCTGCGAGGGCCTGCCCGTCTCTTGCTGGACCCCCGGGGCCTTCGGGGGTTGGGCCGCGCGACCGCGGGACCGAGCGCCTCGCAGAAGACCTGTACGGGGCGGAGTGCCACTTCCTGTACGAGCTGCTCCAGAACGCCGAGGACGCTCACCGCCGTGCGGCGGCGCCGGGCGGCGCAGGCGGTACGCTCCACCTGTCCCTCGGGAGCGGGGCGGGCGACTTCCCCGCGTACCTGCTCAGCGACAACGACGAGGAGGGTCTGACGCCGCGGGACGTGGAGGCCATGTGCGACATCTCGGCCTCGTCTAAGAAGGGGCAGCAGGGACGCGGCGAGGCCGTGGGCCACAAGGGCATCGGGTTCAAGTCCGTCTTCGCCGTGAGCGACTGCCCGTACGTGCTGTCGAGGGGCTTCACCTTCAAGTTCGACGTGGCGGGCCCCCTGGGCAAGCTCGGCTACATCACGCCGACGTGGGTACACCAGGAGTCGGCAGCGCGCCCAGGGACGAAGGCAGAGGGGGCGGACCGTCTCAGAAGGCTCAGCCCGGCCGTCTGAGAAGCTTTCTGAGCCTTCCCCGAAGCCGCAGAGGGCTCCTCAGAAGCTGGGGGCCTCTGAGAAGGCCCACCGACTTCTGAGAGGGCCTGCTCCCTTTTGGACGCTCGGCGGCTTCTTGGTCACACCTCGGCTTTCGGGTGGCCGTTCGGGGCCCTCGGGGAACTCGCCTGGCGAGCAGGCGCAGCCGCTGGAGCGCGAGCCGCCGAGAACCCGCCAAAACGCAGCAAAACCTCGAGCCCAAACCTCGAACCTCGAGCCTCAGACTTCGAACCACGCGAGACGCCCAGAAGCTGCAGAAACGCAGCAACCCCTCGAGCCAGAACCTCGAACAAAGCTCGAGCCTCGGACTTCGAACCTTCGCCCCTTCGGCGCGCCGCCGGCAGGAGGAGCTGGCCTCGCTGCCGCTGGAGGCCCGCGTGGCCTGGCAAGCCGGCCGGACCGTGGTGCTCCTGCCGCTGCGGCGTCCTGCCCTGGGCGCGGCCATCGCGCGGGAGATGGAGGAGCTGTGGGGCCCGTCGCGGGCCCTGGCGCTCTTCCTGCGTGGCCTGCGGCGCTCCGGGGAGGAAGAGGCGCCGATGCTCCGGCACCCGGGCCTCGTCTTCGGCCCCATGGCTGGAGGCGCCCCGAAGTCCTTGTCAGAACGCGCCCCGGGTAGATGTCCAGGGAGTGCAGCCGTCAGAAACCTGGTGAAACCACAGCAAAGTTCCATGGACTGCAGGTGTCGTTAAAGGAAACCAAGAATCTGGACTGGACCATGGGCGTTTTCCCGGGTTTTTTCGTAGAGCTTTCCTTGGACTACTGCTTGGAAAAGCGCTTGGAGTGAAGTCCATCTTCTTAGCCTAAGAGCTTCCAAACTCTAAGAGGGGGGGGCAGCGGGATCGGTGCGGTTTGGCCCCCCCCCCCCCAGGCGCATCGAGCTCTCGGCCGGTCCCGGCGCGCGGCGGCGCCTGTCGGCGCGGCGTGCTGGCGCGGCGGCGTGCGTGGTCGTCGAGGACCTGGAGGGAGTTGCCAGCACCGAGGAGCACAGGTGCTCAGAGGAGGAACAGGTACGCATGCCCTGACCTTCCAGGAGGGCTAACAAGTAGCATCAGGACATCGACGTCCCAATTCCAGTCGAAGTTTTGGGCAGTCCGGAGCGGTCTATAGGTCTGGAGGGCCCTTTTTCTAGCACTCTGGAAGGTCAGGGCGCCGCCGCCTTTCCTTGGCTTTCCCCTTTTTTGGGACCTCCTGGAAGGCCCTCGTCGCCATCGCTGGATTCGCCCCCAAATTCTGGTCAGAGCGTACTTCAGCAGAGGTCTGGGGGGTATGTAGCGGTATCGGTACCTTTACACGTCGGGCCTGTCCCTCTACAGGAGGAATAGGAGGAATGCTCAGAAATCTACAGAAATAGTCAGGGGACGATTTTTTTGAGCATGTTTTGGCTATTCCACAACCTTCCTGTGTTGGGTTTTCGTTTTGAGAAGAGCAGTGTGGTCGCCCCGTCCTTCCTCCTCCTCCCCTCTCCTCCCCTCCTCCTTCTCTCCTGTTTCCTGTGTTCCCCTCTCCTCTTCTTTCGTGCCGTCGGGCTGCGATCTGTGACACTGTCGGCATTTTCGTGGGCTCCCGGGAGGCCCAGCGGAGGTACGTCATACGCAGATCACCCGGCACTTCCGTGGGCTTCCGGGACGCCCAGCGGAGGTACGTCATACGCAGATCACCACTATAGCTCGCGGCGCCCTTGGGGGCTGCGATCTGCGAAACTGTCGGCACTTTCGTGGGCTCCTGGGAGGCCCAGCGGAGGTACGTCATACGCAGATCACCACTAGAGCTCGCGGTGCCCTGGGGGGCTGCGATCTGCGAAACTGTCGGCACTTTCGTGGGCTCCTGGGAGGCCCAGCGGAGGTACGTCATACGCAGATCACCACTATAGCTCGCGGTGCCCTGGGGGGCTGCGATCTGCGAAACTGTCGGCACTTTCGTGTGGGCTCCTGGGAGGCCCAGCGGAGGTACGTCATACGCAGATCACCACTATAGCTCGCGGTGCCCTGGGGGCTGCGATCTGCGAAACTGTCGGCATTTTCGTGGGCTCCTGGGAGGCCCAGCGGAGGTACGTCCCAAAAAGATCATCACAATAGCTCGCAGTGCCCTGGGGGGCTGCGATCTGCGAAACTGTCGGCACTCTCGTGGGCTCCTGGGAGGCCCAGCGGAGGTACGTCCCACGCGGATCACCACTAGAGCTCGCGGTGCCCTGGGGGGGCTGCGATCTGCGAAGCTGCCGGCACTTTCGTGGGCTCCTGGGAGGCCCAGCGGAGGTACGTCATGCGCAGATCACCACTAGAGCTCGCGGTGCCCTGGGGGGGCTGCGATCTGCGAAACTGTCGGCACTTTCGTGGGCTCCTGGGAGGCCCAGCGGAGGTACGTCATACGCAGATCACCACTATAGCTCGCGGTGCCTGGGGGGCTGCGATCTGCGAAACTGTCGGCACTTTCGTGGTCTCATACGCAGATCACCACTATAGCTCGCGGTGCCTTGGGGGGCTGCGATCTGCGAAACTGTCGGCACTTTCGTGGTCTCCTGGGAGGCCCAGCGGAGGTACGTCATACGCAGATCACCACCAACGCCCCTTTCGTGTCCGTTTTGTATTTTTTGTCGCTGCTATTCTTGCTGCGCTCTTCTGAAATCGCTGCTGTGTGCTCTTCTTGCGCACGGCGAGTCTTTGAGAATGCCAGTCAGCATTGAGTGGTCTTGAGTATATTCGCCGCATGTATAGAAAGGGTTGGGTACGTCGCAGGGTAATTTTGAATATTTTTTGGGTATTTTTTATTGTTCGTCCAAAATCCGCCTGTAGGAGGACACGCCCGACTTAACGGTACCTTTCTGGTTTCCCCAGGTACATCATACACGAGCAGGCCGTGCCCCTGCTCGGAGCCGCCGGGACCCCGGGCGAGGTGGTGCTGGCGTTCCCGGTGCCGACGCAGGCACAGGCGGCGTGCACGACGCCTCCGGCAGAGGGCGGCGACGTGCATACTCCGAGGCGGGAATTTATACATGACCACCGCTTGGAGGATCAATTTGCGGGGACCTCGCAGGCGGTGGACATGGATATATTCGGGCCCCCGGGGGCCAAAATATATCCATATCCACCGCCCGCTGGGGCATCAGGACGTCGTTTCCCAGGCGGTGGTTATGGATAAATCCCCGCCTCGCGCATACGGAGTGCGGCATGGAGATGCTGTTCTGCACGCTGCCGGTGAGGTCCGCCGTGGCGAGCAAAAGATGCAACATCGTGACAAACACGACTGGAGCCCTCGGCCCCATCTTCCCGCGGCATTCTCCAAACCGGATCGATCCGTGATGGTCCTGGGGCCCGACGTGGGGCGAAAACGCCCCGCGTGAAGAAATTACAGCGCCCAGATCTCAAGGTGTGTCGGCTTTGGTTTCGCCGTGCACTGCGGCCACCTTGACCTGGTGGCCAGCAGGGACGACCTGCACCGCGGCAGCCGCGCGAACGTCGCGGTCCGCGACGCCCTGCCCAGCGCGTTCGAGGCCGCGTGCGCCTCGCACGCGGAGGTGGCCGCCAGAGCCCTCGCGTTCGTGGGGCCCCCCCCGCTGGATCCGTTCTGGCGCCCGACGCGTGAGGCGATCCTGCAGCAGCTGCAGAACGTCGCCTGCGTCCCCACGGCCGTCGGCGCGCGGCGCCCCAGCGAGGTCTTCGTCGTCGCCGCCGTCGTCGTCGTCGTCGCCGTCGTCGCCGTCGTCGTCGTCGTCGCCGCCGCCGCCGTCGTCGCCGTCGTCGCCGTCGTCGCCGTCGTCGTCGTCGTCGTCGGCGACGTCGGCACCGCCGTCGCCGCCGCCGTCGTCGCCGGCGCCGCTGACGAGGTGCTGTTGCCTGGGGCGGGGCCGTGTCGGCGCGCGGCGGCGCTGCTGCCGCCCGAGCTGCTGCTGGAGGCGTGCGGCCGGGCCGCCGTGTGCGAGGATCGGTTGTGTGCAACGACGGCGGCGGCGGCGGCTGCGCGCGACGGCGGCGACGACGACACTGCGACGATAACGACGACGACAACGCTGGCGCCGACGACGACGACGCTGGCGCCGACGACGACGACGCCGACGACGACGATGGCGCCGACGACGACGACGGCGGCGACGACGACAACGACGACGACGACGACGATGGCGACGACGACGACGACGACGACATTGCGACGACGACGACGACGATGACGACGCTGGCGCCGACGACGACGACGACGGCGGCGTCGGCGACGGCGGCGACGACGACGACGACGACGATGACGACGACGACGACTCTGCGACGACGATGACGACGACGATGGCGCCGACGACGACGACGACACTGCGACGACAACGATGACGACAACGCTGGCGCCGACGACGACGACGACGACGACGACGACGACGACGACGACGACGACGACGACGACACTGCGACGACGACGACGACGACGCTGGCGCCGACGACGACGACGATGACGACGACGACACTGCGACGTCGACGACGACGACACTGCGACGACGACGACGACGCTGGTTCCGACGACGACGACGACGACACTACGACGACGACGACGACGCTGGCGCCGACGACGACGACGACGATGACGACGACGACGACGACGACACTGCGAGATGGTCGGCGACATCGTCGAAGCTGGCGATGACGACGACGAAACTGGCGCCAACGACGACGACGATGACGATGACGACCAAACTGCGACGACGACGACGCTGGCGCCGACGACGACGACGATGACGACGACGACGACGACCACGACGACGACGACACTGCGACGACGACGACGACGATGCTGGCGCCGACGACGACGACGACGATGACGACGACGACACTGCGACGACGACGACGACGATACTGGTGCCGACGACGAACGACGACGAGGACGACGACGACGATGACGACGACGACGCTGGTGCCGACGACGACGACGATGACGACGACGACGACGACGACGACGACGACGACGACGACGACGACGACGACGACCACGACGATGGCGCCGACGACGACGACGATGACGACGACGACGACGACACTGCGAAGACGACGACGACGCTGGCGCCGACGACGACGACGACGACGACGACGACGACGACACTGCGACGACGACGACGACGCTGGCGCCGACGACGACGACGACGATGACGACGACGACGACGACCACGACGACGACGACGACACTGCGACGACGACGACGACTGCGACGACGACGACGACGACACTGCGACGACGACGACGACGCTGGCGCCGACGACGACGACGACGATGAAGACGACGACGACGACACTGCGACGACGACGACGGCGACGCTGGCGCCGACGACGACGACGACGACAACACTGCGACGACGACGACGACATTACGACGACGACGACGACGACGACGCTTGCGCAGACGACGACGATGACGACCATGACGACGACGACTCTGCGCTAACTACAACACTGCGACGACGACGACGACTCTGGCGCCGACGACGACGACGACACTGCGACGACGACAACGACGACGCTGGCGCCGACGACGACGACGCCACTGCGACGACGACGACGACGACGACACTGCGACCACGACGACGACGACACGGCGACGACGACGACGAGGACGACGACGACGACGCTGGCGCCGACGACGACGACAACACTGCGGCGACGACGAGGATGACGACGCTTGCGCCGACGACCACGATGATGACGACGACGACGACGACGACACTACGACCACGACGACGACTACGCTAGCGCCGACGACGAAGACGACGACGATGTCGACTCCGACGACGATGGCGACGACGACGACAGCGACACTGCGACGACGACGACGACGACGCTGGGGCCGACGACGACGACGACGGTGATGACGACGACGACGATGACGATGAATGCATACCGTCCCAGGCCAGCCAGTATCGCCCCCCCCGCCATCCTTTGCAACAAATGTTATGCTCGCGCACTCGTTTACCAAACCCCGTGCACCAAATGGGACGAAGTGCGCGCGCGCGTGCCGAAATCCTTCGAAAACCTTAGTTGTCCGACAGATTTCGAAGTCGAGTGTCCAAAAAACAAAAACATTAAGGTTCTGCAACGCGGAATTTCAACACAAGCGCGCGGGCGTTCTTGCGAAATCTTGCGAATACCGCACGTATATATGTACACATATATATATATACAAAATTTTCAGAACATGCTACCGAACGGGTTTCGCGCGCGCATGTCGAAATCGTTCGAACGCCCTTGCGCGCGTGCCGTCGCTTGAATCCTTTGCAACAGACGGGACGAAGCGCGCGCGCGCGTCGTCGCGTGCGCATGCCGACATCCTTCACAAACTCTCGTTTTCGGAAGGATTTCAAACTCGAGTGTCGAGAAAAACATAACACACAGGGTTTCGCAACGCGGATTTCCAACAAAAGCGTGCGCGCGCGTTCTTGCGAATTATTAAGACTGCCATGATTTTTCAACATATTCATAACATGCTGCCAAACGGGCTTCGCGCGCGCATGTCGAAATCGTTCGAAGGCCCTTGCGCGCGTGCTGGGGTGGCACGAGCCGTGTCACATAACGCAAGGCAAGCCACTCTCGCGCGTCTGCCGCGCGCGCATGTCGAATTCCCCCCCAAACCTTTATCACCGACGCGAAGACGCCGTCATCGTTGTCGGCGTGATCAGCATCGGCGCCGTCACTGGCTGCCCCATCGTCGCTGTCAGCTTCTGTGGAAGATGTCTAAGGCCAGGCCGGTGGGGACACCCGCCGTTGTCCTCTTTTCTCACCTCTCTGTGCGTGACCCTCAAGGCGCACGCGTCTCTGTGGAGTGTTTTGCGGCCGCGTGCCCTGTGCAGGCGCCATTCCGCAGGGGGTGGGTATATGCTGACTGGTGATCTTGCTCGTTCATCCCTCTCACAGGTTATCAGCCGTTCTTGCTTTGCCCCCCGGGCCATGTGACCATCGTTACCTTTTTGCTCATTCTGAGTTGTGCTTGTGCTGCGCCACGCGAAGGACGGCGCAATTGCTTCTGGTGATGTGACGGATCGACTTGCCTTTTTCTGAGTTGTGCAGCGCCAGTCGAAGGACGGCGCAGTAGCTTCAGATGATGGAGCGGTCCGTTATCAGTAGGTTGTCTGCCTGCAATATTATCGAATATGATAACGAATATTTTACTTTCATGGGATGGCGTCTGAGTGCGACCCATGCAACGCATCACATATTTGACACATTTTGATGATCATCGTACATGGTTGAGGCCTGGAAGGGGCTCATGTTTGTTATGCGTTTTACGCTGTCTAGTTGATCAGTTGTTATCGCAACTTCGATCTTGATATCAATTGAATTCGGGCCTGAACTGTCTCTCGATTTGTCCCCCAGTGTCACGTTGCTTTTTTTATTCTCTCACGTCGTCTTTCGTGGGTGGGGGGGGGGGGGCGCCTTCCGCCTCCCCGCAGGTGCGCGTCGACGCTCTCCTCTCCTCGCTTTCTGTTGTCCTTAGCTATTTCCATTCATCCATTGCTTCTCTCCCGCCATCCATGTGTCCTTTCTTCTTTCTCCTCGCGCTTCTGTTTGTGCATGTTGTCACCGTGCGCGCTTTCATTTTGGTGCGATTGTTGGGGGCTGTATCGTGCCGACGGGTCTTCGCTTAACGTTCTGATGCGTCTGGGCGCGCGTGTATTGCTTGCGGGAAGAATCTCCGTGATCGTTTGAGGAGTGACAGCGCGCTGGCAGAGTTGCACGATGCACGGGCCCAGGCCCGCAGGCTGGCGATCCCGACTTCGGCTTGCGATTTCGCTTCCCTCGACGCCCGATTGGCCGAGGTGTGGACTGAGGACTTCTTAGCTCGCTGCTTTGATGGGGGGCCATTTAGTATTACGCGCCCCCCCCTCCACACTATCGCGCCAGCTTCCGCCTCCGCGCCTCCAGGTGTGCTCGCCCCCCCCCCCCCCCCCCTCGGCGAAGGACTTCGCTCTCCCCCGCCATTCAGCAGGGAGCGACTCGCCCTTCCCCCTCGAGCGCGCGCCCCCTCCCCCCCCCCGCCCTCCCCCTGCCCCTCTTGCCCCCCGTGTCGCGCGGGAGTTTTTTGGCCCGGGGCGGCCTGGGGCTTTTTCATCGCCCCCGCCTCCTTTGCGTTGCGGTCTTCTGGGGGGGGGGGGGGGGGCGGGGGGGCAGTTGGGCTCGCATCGAAGGGCGGGGGGGGGGGGATAAGGAAGTGGCGCCGAGGGCAAGGGCGGCGACCGCGAATCGTGGGGGCAGGGGGCCGTTCCTTCAATCGCGAAGAGTAGCCCCAGCTGGCGGGGGCGCCCGGTGCCCAGGCAACTGCTACTTGTCACCTCTCCCAGGCGCGAAAAGAGATTCGTGAATCAGAGATGCTGAAAAAGGCGCGGGCTGCGGACTTCCTTGCCCGTGCGGGCCGCATGCAAGTCGCGCGGTGCACGTCGGTCGCGCCAGGCGAGCAGGGGCCGAGTCTATTCTGCGCGCGCAGACGATTCCGAAACGTCGACGGCGGGGGCCTATAGGTACCCACAGCTGACCCATGACCTTCCGATTGGTTTTGTGGTTGATGGTTGTCACAGTCGCGTTCAGGTTATTCTTTCTCGCAGAGCTCGCAGCATCCACAACTACAGGTTGAGTCTTCGCGGTGGACCCCGCAGCAGCTCCGCGCGGCGCATGGGCGCGGGCGTCCGTGTTCGGGGGGGTCTTCATTTTTCACAATTACTCAATTTGAATATTATTCCCCTCCTTCCCCTGATGACGGGCTGGGAGTGCCCCCCCCCCCCCCCCCCCCCGCGTATTTTTTCAACGCGCAGGATTCCCTGGGGTTGGGTTTTCGCTTGCATTTTTTCTCCAAAATGCTGCTCTCGCTGCAGCGCCGGCTTCATTTTCGGGCCCCGCTCGTTCCGAATCCTGCTCCCGCTGCAGCGCTGGCCTCATTTCCGTGCTTCCGCTCGTTCCGAATCGTGCTCCCGCTGCAGCGCTGGCCTCATTTCCGCGCTTCCGCTCGTCCCGAATTGTGCTCCCGCTGCAGCGCTGGCGTCGTGTCCCGTGCCGTGCCACGGCATGCAATGCAATGCTAGGTTGCGCTCCGCCGCGCGATGCCATGCCTTCAGCTGAAGCTGTGATATGCAGTGCTTACGTGCCGCGTCGCGTTATGCCATGCTACGCTTTGATCTTCAACGCCGTGCGATGCAATGTTATGTTCGGGGCCGTTGTGCGATGCCATGCTTTGCGCTGCAAAGCTTTGCGATGCAATTCTCCACTGCGCCACGCCGCGCCATGCTGTGACATGCTACGCTTTGCGGTGCTCTTCTACGCCATGCCATGCCGTGCTCTACAATGCATCGCGTACCCTTTCGGGATCATTGCCCTGCTCGACGTCCGACTGTGCGAATAGAGAGGGGATCTGCGCCATGGTAAGGGATGGGAGGGAGGGGTAGGATGTCAGATATGACGCGAGCGCACCTAGCCTGTCCTCCCCCCTCCTCTTTTCCGGTCCCGCAGCCCCTGGGGGTCGTGGGAATTCGCCTCCCGGCGTCTCCCTGGAGTCGGGTCCGTTCCCTTCTTCTCTTTCTTTTTCTTCTCGTCGCAAATGAGGAACTTCTGCTGGGGGTCGCAGCCCCGCAAACTGGAGCCTCTCGCCGCGGAGCATTAAAAGACATGTTCGAGGTGGCCGGGGTCCGGCCCTCGTCGATAAGAGCACTTTTTTGGGGGGGCGGGGCCAGCGCGCCCCTAATCGTTAAGAGCAGCCCATTATGGGCGGGGGCAATGCTTTCCCCTGTGTCCTTCCTTCCTCTAGTTTCCCTCACTCGTGTGGTCTCGCGTCGGGGGGGGGGGGGGTGGCGGCGCCGTCGGCGCCCCCGCTCCTCGGGGCAGTTGAGCCTCGAGGAATCCAGTGGTTGAGCCCGCGTGGCGCCCCCGCTCCTCAGGGCGGTTGAGCCTCGGGGAATTCAATGGTTGAGCTCGCATCGTTTGTCCTGCACTCCCGCAGGTGTACGTCGAGAGACGCGCGTCGACGTGCTCGAGCTCTCGCGCGCACTCGCAATCCTGTTCTCATTCTCGGTCGCTCCCGCCAGGTGCACATCTTGCGCTGCGACGCGCTCCGCAGTGGGCGTTCCGACTTGTGGCCATGCTACTTTAACGTCGCGTGCGCATGTCAGATTTTCAATATTCCTCCCCGCGGTTGCACATCTTGACGCTTCTCTACCACCGCTTCTCTTGGAATGCTGTCGCTGTGAGGTCTGCCCGGCCAGGTCATTTTCGCATTCTGTTTGCTTCCGCCACCCATGTGTCGTGGGTGGTGGTGGTGGTGGAAGATGTCTCGGGCCAGGCCGGTGGAGGCGCCCGCAGTTGTCATCTTCTCTCGCCTCTCTGTGCGTGGCCCTCAAGGCGCGCGTCTTTGTGGGGTGTCCTGCGGCCAACTGCCCCGTGCAGGCGCCATTCCACAGGGGGTGGGTGTATGCTGACTGGCTGTCTTGTTCGCTCATCACTCTCACAGCATCGTCGCCGGCACCGCTGCTATCATCATCGTGTCTACCGTTGTCGACGTTGCTATGGTGCCGCGCCCGCCCGAGCCGCCGACTCGCGCTGAAGTGCCCGCTGCTGTGTGCCGAGCGGTCAGCGCCGCCGCGCGCGCGTCGTTCGCGCGAAACTAGCTGGCCGCTGCGCGCGCGAGCATGCGCGGGCTAGCGCGGCCGCAGTGATGCACGAGCCAACGCCAAGCACTCATCGCGAATCTCTTCCGCGTGGGGATTGCAGGCCAAGTTGCGGGTGGGTGGGCGGGGTGCCTGCGCGGGCAGTGGAGTGGTCAATTTCAAGTTGAACATTGGTGAATTGCACCGCGTAGATTGCGCCGTTCAGACTGCGTTTTATAGCTTGCAGAACACGTATTGGGCCGAGTAGATTGGATCACGTGGGCTGCGCCACCTAGTGTGTTCCGCGTAGGGTGCCAAACGCATATTCTCCTTTCTGAAAGGGTATTCGGATCTACCCCGCGCCTCGTCGTCCATCCTAAATTTGAATTCATATCACCCCAGCCAAACCGGCAGCGTTTCCCCGCCTCATCCCGGGCAGAAGAAACTTGCGCGCACAACCGTTATCAAATATCAGAAGTTTTCAAGAATCCCCTGCGACAAATGGGATGTAGCGCGCACGCCCGCGTCGTCGCGCGCGTGCCGACATCCTTCAACAACCGGAGATTTCGCAAGGATTTCAAAATCGAGCGCGCCAGACTTTTATAAAAAACACGTGGCTCCACAACCCGAATTTTCACAGCTAGTTTGCGCTCTTGCTCTTGCGAATTTTTCAGAACACCATACGTTTTCCAATCTTTCCACAACATGCTACCGAATGGACCTTTCGCGCGCGCATGTCGAAATCGTTCAAACGCCCTTGCGCGCGTGTTGTCGCGACAATCCCTTGCAACTAATGGGGCGAAGTGCGCGCGCGCGCGTCGTCGCGCGCGTGCCGAAGTCTTTCAAAAGCTGTAGGTTTCGCAGAGTTTTGAAATCGAATGCCCCGATACATAACAACACGCAGTCTTGCAACATCAGTTTCCCCGAAAAGACTGCGCTCACGCTCTTGGGGGTTTTCATGAAGTTCGGCCAAGCGGGCCTGTCGTGCCGCATGCCGATATCATTTGAGCGCCCTTGCGCGCGTGCTGGAGGGGGGGGGGCACGATCCGTGTCAAATAAAGTCATGCGGGCCACTCTCGCGCGTCGGCCGCGCGCGCATGTCGAACCCCTTCGAAAACTGCATCACCGACGCGAGGGCGCCGTCGTCGTCGTTGGTGTGATCAGCATCGACGCCGTCACTGGCCGTGCCGTCGTCGTTGTCATTATTGTCGCCAGCGTCGCTACTATCATCATCGTGTCCACCGTTGTCGACGTTGCCATCTTACCGCGCCCGCCAAAGTGGCCGACTCGCACTGAAGTGCCCGCTGGGAAGTGCCCAGAGGTCAGCGCCACCGTGGCCGCGTCGGTCGCTCCAAACTAGGTAACCGCTGCGCGCGCGAGCATGCGCGGGTTGGCGCGGCCGCAGGGACGCACCAACCAAATTCAAGTACTCATCGCAATCGCTGCCGCATGGGTTTTGCATACCAAGTTGCGGGTGGGTGTGTGGGGTGATTGCGCGAGCAGTGGAGTGGACAATTCGTTGCGAACAAAAATTATTTGCACCGCGTAGATTGCACCAGTTATATTGCACAGCGTAGATTGCGCAACATATATCGCACCACGTCGATTGCGCCACATCGGTTTCCAGAATCAAGTTGTTTGGGGTCCACCGTGGCTAACATATGGCCCTCTACCAATGCCGGCGGCGAGCCCAGGGGGAAATGAGAGGGGGCGGGCCTTCCCAGAATGCGGCGGGGCTTCTCAGAAGCCCTTCGGCTGTCTGAGAAGCCATTTGAATACGGAAAAGGCCCCGGAAACCTTTCAGAAGGCCGGGGGCCTTCCGAGTCTTTTCAAAACGCCCGCCCCCTCTGACTCCCCCCCCGTGCTCGCCGCCAACAAAAGGTCGCTTGGGGGCCTCTCTGAACTGACTTTGGGCCTTCTTGGAGTGCTCTAAGGCCGTCTTTGAGGCCATCATGCCTTGGGCCGCTTGTCGACACAATGTTTTGACTTCTGCACAACGTCGACCTCCAAAAGTCCAGACCCATTCTCCAAGAACGGCTTTTCATCCGGACTCGTTTTTGACAGTCCCAAAGACTTTCGTGATGTTTTCGCGACGCGAGCACTGCTTGGGTCACTCTTGCCTTGGGCCGCTCCTCCGTGCAGCCGGGAGGAGCCCGACCCAACGCGGGCGCGGCTGCTCAGGCGCCTCGGCGCCGCGGATTTCGCCGCTGAACACCTGGTGCGGTGCCTCGGGCACCGCGGCGAGCGGTGGCCAGCCGGCCCTTCGGGCGGCGGAAGCCCAGCGCGGGCCTGCTCGCGGGTCTGCCGCTGCCGCTGCCGCTGCTGCTACGGTGGGGGCGTTCTTTTAGGACTGTGCCTTGGCAGTTTCCAGACCCTGGTGAATTCCTTATCTGATGAGGGCGACGGTGTTAAATCCATGGCTCAGTTGGAGCTCCACAGGCTTCCAGGCCCTGCAATCGTCGTCCAAAGACTCGTTATCCATGCCCTCACCGTGCTGCTCAGAGGAAGAACAGGTAACGATACTGCTACCCGTACGTTTTGGTTCCCCTGGCTGCCCCCTCCCCTCCCGCGCTCAGGGGGCCGGAGAGGAAAATTGTGGTGGTGATGATGGTGATCACGACGATGACGATGACGATGACGATGATGATGAAGACGATGATGATGATGGTGATGCTGATGATGATGCTGATGAGGATGATGATGATGACGGTGCTGGTGATGATGACGATGCTGATGATGATGATGACGATGTTGATGATGATGTTGATGATGTTTCTGCTGCTGTTGGTGATGATGTTCATGATGATGATGATGATGCTGATGCTGATGATGCTGCTTCTGCTGCTGTTGATTATGATGCTCATAACGATGATGATGATGAGGATGAGGATGAGGATGATGATGAGGATGATGATGATGATGAGGATGCTGCTGCTGATGATGATGATGATGGTGATGCTGCTGCTGATGATGATAATGATGGTGATGATGATGCTGATGATGATGCTGCTGCTGATGCTGATGCTGATGCTGCTGCTGCTGATGATGGTGAAGAAAAATAGTAACATTAATATGATGATGATGCCAAAGATGACTATGACTAATTTTAATGCTAATGCTTATAACAAATATTATGATGATGAATACTATGATGCTGCTGATGATGATGACGATGATGATGATGATGATAATGACGATAATGATGATGATGATGATGATGATGATGATGATGATGATGACGATGACGATGTTGGTGGTGGTGGTGGTGGCGGTGGTGATGATGATGATGCTGCTTCTGCTGCTGTTGATTATGATGTTCATGACGATGATGTTGATGAGGATGAGGATGAGGATGAGAATGAGGATGATGATGAGGATGATGATGCGGATGCTGCTGATGCTGATGACGGTGATGATGCTGCTGCTGATGATGATGGTGATGATGATGCTGATGCTGATGCTGCTGATGATGCTGATGCTGATGCAGCTGCTGCTGCTGATGGTGATGATGATGGTAAAGAAAAAAGAGTTATACTAATATGATGATGATGCTAAGGATGAGTACGACTAACTGTAATGCTAATACTGATAACGATACTATGATGATGGTGAATACTATGATGCTGCTGATGATGCTGATGATGACGATGCTGATGATGATGACGATGTTGGTGGTGGTGGTGGTGGTGGCGGTGGTGATGATGATGATGCTGCTGATGATGATGGTGGTGGTGGTGATTCTGGTGGTGGTGGTGATGAGGATGGTGATGATGACGATGTCGATGACGATGATGATGCGGATGATGATGATGATGATGATGATGATGATGATGATGATGATGATGGTGGTGGTGGTGGTGATGATGATGATGTTGATGATGATGATGATGATGATGATGATGATGATGATGATGATGATCATGATGATGATGCTGATGATGATGATGATAATGATGATGATTAGGAGGAGGAGGAGGATGAGGAGGAGGAGGAGGAGGGAGCAAGAAGAGGCGGGATATGATGATGGGAGAAGCAGGGCGGGCAGAGTAAACCCAGCGTCGACGGCGCTGCAGTACACCTCTCTTTGCTCAGTCTGCTCCCCACACTTCCTCGCAAAGTCCTCCTCCGCTGCAGGAAGCGCTCCCCCTTGGAATGACGAGCGCCCAGTGGGCCTGCCCTTAGGGCGAGACCCCGTTCGGGCAAGGATCCGCCCCCCCCCTCCTCCTCCTTTTCCTCCTCCTCCTCCTCCTCCCCCTCCTCCCCCTCCTCCTCCTCATCCCCCTCCTCCCTCCTCCTCCTCTCCTCCTCCTCCTCCTCCTCCTCCTCCTCCTCCTCCTCCTCCTCCTCCTCCTCCTCCTCCTCCTCCTCTCCTCCTCCTCCTCCTCCCTCCTCCTCCTCCTCCTCCTCCCTCCTCCTCCTCCTCCTCCTCCTCCTCCTCCCCCCTCCACTCATTTGTGTAAGATGCATCACGTGTCTAGCCATAGCCCACCCTCGGAAAAGATCTGACCCCATGCGTGTACCTTGGATGGGGTATTTCTCAAGGGGGGGCTCGATTGACCTCCCGACTGAGCTTGCCCAATCCCGCCCCCTCCGTTCTCTCCTTCTCCTCTTCCTCCAACCCCCCTCTGCCCATTCCGACAGCACGTGCCCAACCTCCGCAGCGGATCCGAGGGGAGGGGGGCAAGGATTTGCCCCATCCAGAGTAAGATAGATCAAGTGTCTAGCGATAGCCCAACCTCGGATAAGGTCTGACCCCATGCGTGTAGGTGTCGCGCAGCGGGATTCTTAAGCACGAGCCCCATTTTGAAAAGGAACCGCCATCCCTCCGTGTAGCTGTTGCGCATTTGGGAAATCCGGGCCATAGCATATGAGAAAATACTGAACGAGAGCAGCATTTTGAAAACGAGCTTGCCTCCATCCTTGTAGCTGTTGGGAACCTCTTTAACTAATGTGCGCAGCGCCAAAGCGAGAGCCACATTTGGAAAACGACGGGCTCTCCATCTTCATTATTGCTGGAAGGTTTGAGCCAAAATGCGCGCCGCAAAGGCGACAACCGCATCTTGAAAGTTAGCGGACCTAAATCCTTGTATATGTTTGAATCTTTTCAGACGAATGTGCGCGTCGCTGAGAAGAGAACCGCATTTGGCAAGCACTTGCCCTCCCTCCTTGTGGTACCTGGGAGATTTTAGAACGAATGTGCGCGGCGCTCAGGCGAGAGCCGCATTTTGAACTTGGCTGGCCCTCCATCTTTGTAGTTGTGCAAGTTTCTTAGCGCCAGGATCGTAAGATGTAAGGAGGTCTGAAGCCAAACGCTGGGCCCGACCTACAGGCACGTTTGATGGGGCGACAAGGGAAGTTCTTTATTGTTGTTGATGAGGAAGAGGGCGGGAGGAGGGAGAGGAGGGGTAGGCGTTGCAGCAGGAGGGGGTCGTGATGGAGGAAGAGATGAGGATGGGAAGGACCGGCGGCAGGTTTCTTCGCGACGGGGTCGTTCCGTCCATGGCTGTCATTGGCTGTCTCGTTGTGCCCCCCTCCACCCCGCCCACCCCAAACCTCTCCCTCGGGCCCGCCCGAGGGCGCGAGTCTTCCTGGTAACCTGCGAGCTGAACCTTCGGGGTGGAGGTGGTGGGTCTGGGTGAGGCTCTCTGGCTCCAGGCTTCTAACTTGGAGGAGGAGGAGGGGGATGAGCATGATGAGGTCGAGGAGGCGGAGGAGGTTGAGGAGGCGGAGGAGGATGATGAGGTGCATGAGGATGATGTTGATGCTGCTGCTGCTGCTGCTGCTGCTGCTGCTGCTGCTGATGATGATGATGATGATGATGATGATGATGATGATGATGATGATGATGATGATGATGATGATGATGAGGACGAGGAGGAGGAGAAGGACGAGCAGGAGGAGGAGGAGGACAAACCATCAGGATCGAAGAGGAACCATGATGATGTTGAGGACGATGGGGACGATAGTGATGTTGATTGTGATGATGGTGGTGATGCTGCTGATGCAGTGCAGGATGGCATGCTTCTCATGGATAATGATTGTGACGATGGCGATGTCGATACTGAGGATGATTATTAACATAATGCTAAAGAAGGTGTTGATAATTTCGATCTACATTCTGATTAATGAGTATGTTGAGGATGCTGGTGGTGGTGATGATGATAGTGATGATTCTGATGGAGGATGAGAAGGAAGCGGATGAGGAAAGTGGCCATCTTCTCAAGTCGGGGGGGGGTTCCCCACACACATGCCACCTTTGGAAGAGACCCCTGACCACGCCCATGTCTCTCGAGCGTGCAGTGGGGCTCAGGCGGCCCACAGCGGGGTCGCCGTCTGCTGCTTCAACCCTCTCAGCGCGACGGAGACGCGCGCCCAGGATGTGGTGCAAGAGCTGTCCAACTTCGACACTCTGGTGCTGATCAGCACCATGAGGCGGGCCGCGGGCCCCGAGTCGATTGGTTCCATATCCAGAGTTGGCCGGTTCCATTTTAACGATTGGGGATGGGCGGCGTCCCCACATGTCACAAAGGCTTGCGGGATCCAGATGTGGTTACACGGAGGAAAGGTTCTCAGTTTTTGTTTGAGAAGGTTGGCCCAGGTGCCGAAAAAAACCTCCGAGGAAGAGCAAGTGCTGTACGTATTCAGAAGGGGCCGTTGCGCGTCGTGATTCGTGCGATGCACCTTCCGCCCGCACCGAACACAGGCCGTGAGCATTGTGAACGTTGGCAATGCACGGTGGGGTCCATGATGGGCTGGCTCTACACCGTGCTGAACACTACAAGTGTGCGGTGGTCGCCAGTGCTGTGCTGCGACTTGAACGGCCAGTTCGCCAGAGTTCCAAAAATGACGGGCGGATGCTTCATGCATGAATTCAATTACACGATCGAGATGATGGCACCGTGTCTGCGTGCGCACTGCCTGTGCGCCATCAGCATTAGTTTTCACTTTGGCGGCCCCGCCTACTACAACAGAGGAGTTGTCAAGGCGTTCGACGACGTTATTGTACTTCAGGAGTGGCACAAGGTTTCCAAATTGGCAGGACGTCGACGAGGTCGGCTTGGCGATTGCAGATGCGCAATCAAAGTGGGCTGTGGGATCATGTGCCGGTTGGTGTCTGCTTCGACATGACATAGTGGACCAACCTTATTTTCAGAGGGAGCGTATCATGATCAACAACGGAGGTTTGGTTAAGATGTTGCAGTTGGGCGACAAGAGGGCTGAGTTTGCGGCGACGGTCGAGGGGATATTGAGAGAAAAG